AACCATCCAGCATTCCGTAAGCGGATAAATCAATTAACTCATTCTCCAATGAGCACCTGTACTGTATCCCTAGTGTCCCTACACGAGCAGCTATGAGACCAGCTGCATCCATCATATGGATGGGTATACAGCACACCAGTCTATCCAGTTATCACGATGTCCCTCTCAAGTAACCTATGACCGGGATTATTTAGGATATGTGTTTAAAGGTGAATCGATCTCATTATCGTGATCTCATCACGATCCGATTCCCATTGCACAAATCTAAGGACATCACAATATATGTATACATTTATGCAATAGTTATAAAGTGATATACGCCAAAATATAATAAGCAAAATGATTCTGTATTAAGTCACACGTGCCATCACTCACGTGATTGGCTTGCTGGGCACCTATGACTAGCACATATATGTAGGGAAATCTAGGGGTGACATCATATGCGCAGCGAAAGAACATAAAATAAAATCCTCAATTTCCCAAAGATGTGTTCGTCATCATGCAAAGATTAGTGCACAAAAATTGTAAAACTAAAAATTACGTATATGAAAGATTGTGTTACCTAGGGAGGCCATATATCCCTAAATCTCTGTAAATCTCTAGGAGAGAGTGAAGAAGGTCAAGCATCCTCCTCTCTAGCGGTGATCCACACAACAGGGTTAGGACGATGCTCCTCAAAACTCCAAGCCTTCTATCTGAGGGGGAGAAGGGGAGGAGAATAAGAAAGACAACCCAAAAAGGCTCTAGCCTATGAACTATTAGTTCCCTCCTATTTATAGAGGTTCCTTATCAACTTAACCCTAATGGATATTACCATATTGGATATTGGATCTTCATCCAACTACCCAAGCCTCTTAGATTAGTGGATCTCTATCCAATAATCGCTTATTGGCTCTTATTGGATCTCATCTATAGGATCCAATAATTCAAGGGCTTATTGGATATCTAATAAGATAGGGGCTTCGACGGTTATCTCATATCTGAATATCTACTTATCGCAATGCCTACCACATATGTGTGACCCTCTAGGCCCAATATCGAGCTAGCCGTGAGTCATACTTGTCAGAACTCCTTCTGGCTTAGTGAATTATTATCTTCATAATAATTCACTCGACTCATCGACTACGGACGTACTAAGCCACTACACCATAATCCCCAAACGATACACGAGAATCCAATCCATTGGACCAATCTGTCCTCAATTATTATATATATATAGTCCCTCATCCATCTAATATCCTAAAGATCGTATATAAGGCATGATGCTGTCAGACCCATACGGTTTATACTCGAGTCTCGCTCTAATTGGATTCTCTTGGAGAACTCTTTCTGTCTCATTTAGAATGAACCTGGATAAGGATTTGTCTGAGCAAGAATACATGGGATATCTCTCATAACACCGAGAGTGGATGATCCTTTATCGATACTCAATAGTCCTCGTAAGGTTGGATACCACTCCCGATCACCGGTTATGCTAGATCTGGAACCTCCAGACCTATAAGTCTGATATCAAAGAATGAAGTACTTATATAGGATATCCTTAGTGTCTTATGTAT